CGCAGTCTTATCACAGGTTTGTCTGAAAGTCGGGCTGTGATGAAGTGCAGATAAACACTCATCCAACGATCATCATCCAATGGCTTATTGATAATGAGTGCTCCCGTTGATCTTCGCCCGTTTAGGCAAGGCGAGTAGTGACAAATATGGAATACGAAAGACATGAGCCGGCGAAAGTGGGATTCCTCAAATCATGTTTGTTGAATAGAACGTACCTTATACACAATGTCAGTAGAAAAGACTGAGTCTGAGTCTGTTGGCTTTACTCATGGCTTAACATCGTTTGAGATTGTGCCGCACACCGACAAAGAACGCAAGAGAAAAATGGTCCTGTCAATTTGAACCTGTACGCTAAGCGGAAGGCGATTAGGAGATGTACGATTAGTGCGCGTGTAGCGGAAGTGACGAAAATTTGAAAATGTCCACAACGTTTGTGAAAAGCTTATTCAATCATTCATTGGAAACTTATTTCGCATACTTCTAATGTACTTCAACTGAAGGCTGTCTAGGACTGTGTCACTCCGAATCAGAGACGTATCACGGATTAACACGAAGAGAAGAAGGGGATCCTGGAGAGCAGTGGGCAAGGTTGCGATAATCAAAGGTTTCATCGTCAGAGATGTCCCAGATGTCGTGAATGATCCTTAACCTAGATGTTGTACATATGAGACGGTAATATAAGTGATTCGTGAATGTGTAATTTGAGAGCTGTATTTTACTTCAAGAAAAATGTGACACTCAAAGACTGATTATTTCCTTACGTGGCTTCCTTGTTCATTTTATGATTTTCAGGTCGCATAAATAAAAACATTTTACAGCTCTGGGAAAAATACAAACTAGAATGTGTTTAAAAGCAAAGAAGTACAGATGGCGTTTAAACCTGCAAGAGGACATAGGAAGGTTGAACTATGGTCAACGACGAGGAGGATTGCGAGCACAAAGAAAAAAATTGTGAAGGACAGCTCGCTGCTGAAATGATTTATTACTATCTAAACTTAAGTTGGACTGCTATAACGAGAAAGGAGAAGGGGGCCTATCAGTAGAAACAATAAAAGAAAAGGAGTGAACACCCCACACTCAACAGCCATTTGCAATGCCGTTCTTGGAAACATATTTTTCAGCATAGAAGAAAAATGAACCTCGATATTGAACAGCAGCAATAATAACGAAAACAAAATCACCATTCCAAAGGAAATAGGTCGAATGTGCAGAGGAATTTCTTCCTTCTTCCGGTATAAAAACTAGAAAACTTCCGGTATATGATTAATGGCAAAACGGCACACTTTCCAACGGTGCTGTCCAAGAATTCTGCCAAATTACATGACGGACGTTCTGCTAGAGTTTAGCATGTTAGAATATCTCGCTGGTTCCTATCACTACAAATGATACTATTATACTAATGGTACTGATACTAATACTATACACTACGAATAATACTAGGATGAACAAAAAATCTGAAGAACCTTACTTGAATGGAATGCTTGAAAAACCAATTAAAAGAAATTGTTTCGACAATCAAGCTTCACATCGACATGAGTTTTTCACAGACTTTTTGTGTATTCGATCTTTAGGCTCAAAATTCGCATTACAACACTTTTTTTAGATTACCAAGTGACTTTTTATATGAATAAACGATTTATTTATCTAGTTAAATAGTCAATCATGAAGAAACAAATCACCGAGAGCTCACAATTAGTGAAGACAGAACGAAATTGAAAAGTCTTTGGACATAAACTAATCCCGCTTTTGGGATGTGACACAGCATTCGACTTGCATTAAGAATGGAAGGTGATTCGTATGCGTATGCAGCCTAAACAGTGACTTGCGGTGGCCAGCCAATGTACTAGTTAGTGCTTTTATCCTCCCAGACGGGTCTGGTACCAAATAACGGACCTCGAAGGGATGAAAGACGCTGTTGACCGATGCGGGTAGTAATTCGGTATTTGAGCACCGGAACATGCGTGATGTTCATGGTCACTTGCCACCACACCACCTCCCCCCATAGACAAATTAGGAACAAAAATAATCCTTTCAATCTCTATTAAATACCGCGAACGACTTGAGCAACTTCATTTTGATGTGGTTCACCTGTGAAAGCCTCGTGGGAAACATTGAACATTCAAGTACTGTTTTTCAGAACAACAATATAAAGAGCTGAACGTATTCAGAGAACATAGCTTATTCTCGCCATGTACGGCTATCTCTAAACCTCGGCATACATAGTGCACACGTTGGTTTTCTCTGCTGGGGTCTCGACTTTCCGTAGGGTAGTTGAGGCGTTTGGTCGGATAGCCATGGATTGCTCCGATCTTTCCAGGCTCTGAAGAAGGCGATCAAGGCGGATTAAAGAATTTTTATCAACCTGAATTCAAGCAGAGAAAACCAAAGCCTATTCTGTCACAGATAGAACTTAGCAGTTTTCTGCCACAACGCCCACCAAAATTACAGAAGGTCATCAGGTAAATTATATTAGTCCAATATAGAATGAGTTTCTGTATACATTAGGTATAAACAGCGAACGAATTACTAGTTTTAATAAGAAGTGATGTCTTTGTGATTAATCTGTCTCGAAGAGGAGGTGGTAAAATGGCAATCTGTGTGTACTAATTGGAACGAGCATTGTCTGGGAAGGTAAGAATACAGACTTGCACATCAGCTGGTTACTACAAATCATTATACAGGTTAGATACACAAACCGCCGCAAAACGATCTCGAATGGAAGTCGATTGCGGGGGCGCGTCCTAGA